CAAAAATCGCTAGTGTAAACGGGGCTTTAGGACAAGTTATAGAAATATTATAAGCTTTTAGAAGAGTCCATTTTCAGGGAGTTGTGCTGTTAAGCGGATCACAAACCCAGGCAAAGACAACTCGAGCAACTGAAGTCCCCATGAAACGGCTATCGGATATTTACGAAGAAAATCAAGCTATTCTTTGTCTCAAATTACACGACACGATAGTTACTTGGCTACGTAAGCAAATGAACACTGAACAGCAGATAACAAGTCAAGAGGTAAATAGATACCAAGAAAGTTTTAATAGGTTATTACTTCCAAAAGTATGTTATCTCTGATTACATGTCTTCGCTTTGCTCGAGGAATTATTAAAACAAAAAGAAAACCTTTTGGCTTTAGTTTAAGCAATGAGTAATGCTTTTAGGGAGAGCAGAATTGAAATGAGATAAAGCTTGTTATGAGCATGGCTTGCACTAAAGATTAGGATTAGGGGGATTTAAGATAAGGAGATAATGAGTTGGATTTACTCTTGAATGAATAATATGTGTCATTAGAGTGGACTTAAATAATTAACTTTCAGATTCGCGTGAAAAAAAAAATAAAAACAATCTTCAATTTCATTATAAATTTCTTAATTAACAAAGTCGTGAAATATATAAGCTAATTTTATGTTGCAAAGCCGCAAAATACTCACACCGTGTCATAATTAAGTTAAACAGCCAATCAAAAGCAATAGTTGAACAGCCAATCAAAATCAAGTTGAACAGCCGATCAAAATCAAGTTGAACAGCCAATCAAAATCAAATTGAACAGTTAATCAAAATCAAGTTAACAGCCAATCAAAATCAAGTTGGAAAAAGAAATATACTTTAGCTTGGACAACCAATGAATGGTACTTTGAGAAATCGTGATGTCATGAATTGTTTTGTGAAGGTATGCACGATGTTTGATTTAACTTCAGTAAAATGGAAATTTTACCACTTCTGAAAAAAACTAAGATAAATCTAAGCCAATAATAGAAAAAAGAAAAAGGAAGAAAAGAGAATAAAGATGAATAAAGATAGGGAAATTGGGTGAAAACAAAGAAATGGAAAGATGTGATAATGGACTCTGAAAATATTAATTGCTCTTAATTAGTTTTGACGTAATATTAACGAATGAAGATAAGATATATTTAATCCAATCGAATGATACTATTGGAAATTGCTGAGCATTCTCGTCCAATCGATTGCCGACTCTGGCAAATAAGGATTCAATCAGCGTCAATCAAATACGTGTTTCCATGGCAACGAGATATCGTGATAGATACCAAAACACCTCCTGACTTGCACATATCAGAAAGTGGGAATGCCGCAATTCACAAATATATTTCATTCCTAAGGACATCCTAGAATACGTTTTTGACCTTTTTTGAAATTTTATCAGTTTTTGGTCGCTCTTATATTCGGGTTCGAATAACAATTTAGAGCAAGCTGCTGTTACACAGTTTTTTTAATTATTAATAGCTGCTCACATAGCACTGAAATAAATTGCAATTTCAATGTCATCGGGTAGCTTTTCCGACACAAAGATCGGAGCAATATGATCATTTGTGTTGCGGTTAATACAAATTCGAAGTCACTGTGTTTACAGAGAACAACTTATCATCTTTAAAAGGAACACACATATGTTATGTTATATTTTTTCTGGCTGATGAAGACGTCAAGCAGAGAAGACAAAATGAGAGGTAAGGAYGAATGAAATTGGGGATAAATAAATAAGTAATATTCTGAATCATGATTTCTCCTTACTGTGTCCGGTCTAGAATTCTCTCTAAGAGGATTCTATCTCATAATCACTGTCGCAATCAGTTTCCTTTAAAATTGCTATGTCAAAATACATTCTCACCGTTCTCTTCACACCGTTAATTTCCTCGAGCTGTTTTTTAATAACATGGTTTTATAATTAATGTTTTCGTGTTTGACACTGATTAGTAGGTATACTTTGCGGAACTATTCAATTTGAGTGTAATATAAGCAAAAGTTATTGAGTAATACATTATTGCATTGACGGTCATATTTTTTTATGCGCTGGCTGGAAGTCTTCAGGTAAAGCAGGGATGATTTTTATTTTATTTTGTTGTCACCAACAGGGAACTGAAATAGACTAGAGCCGGGTTAAGTTTCTCTTATTGAAAGACCTGATTTGTACAGAAACAAGAAAGAGAGAGTTTCTATCAAAGAACAAGAGCGATAATCAATTGGGTAAGTAGTGTTATATGTGCCTAGGCAAGATAAAAGCGACTTTTACTCTACATCACGATGAAAAAGGATGATCAATTTATCTGCATGGTAATGACAGTAAAGGCGCGATTATCACAGAGGAATTTCCTCTGCAACTTGTCGGCGACACAACGGCGTTGCGACACAAGTTGCAGCGTGTAACCTACAGCGCAATTTGAAAAAAATCTTGCGACACAAGTTGCMGCAATCGTTACGAAAAGTAGAATTTGTTTCTACTTTTGGCAACGATTATTGCGTCACTCTTCGTTGCACCGTGTGCAAGACTCTGTGGCAATTCGTGTCGCAAAAGCTGTTGCGAGAAGTACAGTGTGCATAGAAAATTGATCCGTGTAATCACGCCTTAACTTTGTCCTTTCGATTACATCGAAACTTTTCGTATCTTTTGCTTTTTTTCTTTTGTTTTTTTGTTAAAGAACTGGCATAGTTCATTGCCTGAACTTGGGACCATTGTTTCGTAGTCACTCATGCGAATAGAAGACATCTGAGTTGCATATATATTTTTGCCTGCAAACAATACTCCTTTTTACTGTTCCATTCAGTGACCACGAATAATAGTTCCCAGCCGAGGCTGGAGTTACCGCGCATGATAAACTGTAGTTTTGCTATGCGCGGAAACTCCAGCCTCGGCTAGGAACTATTATTCGTGGTCACTGAATGGAACCGTAAAATGGAGTATTGTTGCATTTGGGTCGGTCATTTCTATACATTTCATTGTATTGACCCAAATGCCTCGACTTGAAACAATCGTTTGAAGGGAATAGAGTGTAACTTTAACATCTGCTATTTGGAAAAGGTCTAACTTCAATAAAAAAACTTGAAAATAAAAACAAAACTCATGAAAAGAACTTTCAGTTTCGTTCGTTATAACCTGTACAAAACAGAATCATCCAAGAACTTTTTTGAACTCATCAAATGTTGATTCAATCCTCTTTTTTAAAGGGGTGTAATATAAAGGGAACGGCTCTATGAGCTACCAACCATACAATGATGTCATCTGTTGCCAAGACAACACCGTGATCCAGTCAGAACAGGCTTCAAAAAAACTGCCAGTTCTGTTTGTTACAGGATTTACTACTTTGATATCTATAAAACCATATAAAAAGCCAAAAAGAAGCGAGTAAGGGGTAAATTATTTGATGAACAGTTTTGAGAAATTTAATGTCACATTTTAAGTTTGTTGAATTCAAAATTCTTGGAAAAATGGCTTTGACATTTAGTAAAATTTACCCCCCAAAATGTTTTGTCCTAAAAAAATTCATTCCAACTAAAGTGATGATGTCTTTCTAGCTGAAAATCCCTCACGACTTAAGATTAGAATTAGATCAGTCACTACTATGCAGTTTTTATCTTACCAGTATAAATTAGTTATGTTGTGCTATAGGTATTGTTTTTGGAAAACTAAATTTAAACTCTACAAATGAAACCACAGGCAGCTGCGCTTTTTAATCTTCTGACTGATGCACCAACAATACCTAAAAATTGAAATTTAGAATTTATCTCATGAATATAGACTAAATCTTTAGATTAAATTTGTTGTCAATCATCGTGCTTTTATCAAAGGAATAAAAAGACATAAGGAAACGTTTAGGTTTTTGCAGTTTTCATGACATCCGCTGAAGAAAAATCTCATTGGATATCTTTTTTTGTTCCGTGGAATTAGTGCTTTTTTGAACCTTGACGCTTTTGGTAAAATTGTTTTTGTATTCACTCAGTTTTAATTAAGTATTTCACTTGGTTTGATTTATGTTTCAATTATGAAAGTTGCTGTTCAGGCCAAAACTAAAAGACGGTCGATATTATTTATAAGATATACCCATGCTTTCTTTCTTTCTTTCTTTTTTCTTTTTCTTGAAAACTCATCGAAGATTTGCCATAATGAAGAATAATATAATGTGTGCAAAACGTATGAGCCGATATCATCTTTTAAATATGATCTATCATATCACAAGACCTAATATACGCAAATCACATATCCGTTCCGCACTCCTCTGAGTCACTCTAGGTGACAAACAAAACCGTTAATCTGATAATAAAAATATAAAATTTCTAAGACTTTTGAGTGACAAGCAACTGAAATCTATTTTGATCCAAGTCTTGCCTTCACATTTTACATTTTTCGTTAATTCATCATAAAATAATATGATCGAAGGTGATTTATAGCCACAAGTATTTTTTTGTTTTGTTTTATCTTAATTTGTTCATTTTCTTGTTTTCATYTTGACAAATTTAGGGTAAAATATATGTGTATATATATATATACAGGAAGTATCATTTGCCAAGCTATTACCTATGATCTTTGTAAGTATGAAAAAATTTTTTCGGAGCTCGAGCCAAATAAACCTTTAAGCGAACTTAGTGCTGATTTAAAAATAGTTCAAATTTCCCAAAGGTCTCATTTCGTGATTATGATAAGAATTATGAGAAAATATATTTGCATATCAGCTTGGTCGGCTCGGCTTCGTGTTGACAAATAGTCAGCTGCATGCGAATTTGTCCAAACGTTGATTGTGTGAACTGTTGACAAACTTACTCTTCAGGTATGCACTTCACTATATATAGTGACACTTCAATATCGCTTGAATCGGCGTGTGAGTGTGATATAGTTTCACAACATTGTTTTAAAGAACTCAAGTATGACGAAACAATACTTAGTGACATATATAGTTTTTTTAGCGGAATTTAACGTCACTTAAAGAGTGATACAATGATGTGTCCATAATAGAAGTATTGACTTCAGGATAACATTATTCAAGAAGTACACCTGAAGCAATTTGATGCTCTGAATTTCGAAAAGGTTAATTGAAACGTGCTTTGGTCAAATTGCATACTTGATATAAACTAGTGGTATAGTAACTATTAAGGTAAAGATGAGATTTGAATGAACAAAGGTTACTTAGACAAAAGGAGTGTGTTAATTTTCAAAGAAATTTTAGTCTTTCCATCGTAAGCTCATTCAAGGTCAAAGACACGACACATCATAGAGCAAAGTAGGGCACTGAGGAACGAATTTGAATACTATTACCTCCAGGTAAATAAAAAACCTTGTCTTGTTTTGTGACATGGATGGATGGATGGATGGATGGA